TTTTTAGGGTAAGGATTTTAGAAAAAAGTATCGTCTTATAGTCAGAAAAATATGGTATATCAGGGGCAAATAGCAAAGATCACAAATAGCAAAGATCACATCTCTGCAAGCTTCTCAGTATGTTAAAGCACAAGGCAAGGGTATCTACTTTCTCTTTTATTATTTGTAATCAGTTGGAAGTCCTGGCAGACAAGATCCGAAAAGATAAACAGAAAATCAGGATCAAAATTCAAGGGGAGGAATGCAAGTTGAAATGCTATGCGGATGATACAGGTAGCCCTTGCTTAACAACGGTAATTAGGACTGGAATTGACCACATCACTTAGCAACAGCAATCCTGACAGTTCCTGTTTGTTATCGTTAAGTGAGGATCGCGGGTCATTAAGCAAGGACCTCACATGACCATGACTTGCAACTTCCTGCTGGCTTCCAACAAGCAAAGTCAATGGGAAGCTGGCAGGAAGTTGCAAGTCCTGGTCATGACAAACCATTCCTTAGCACGCTTGCAAACAGGCTCACTGGCAACTCTGAAGATTGGTCATAAGTCTCCCTCATTCAGTGCCATCATAACTTTGAATGGTCACTGAACAAAACATCATAACCCAACAACTACCTTGGATAATAGCAATTATCCAACCACAAAACTCCATACAATAGCTGATTAAAGTTACCAAAGATTTTTGCTGCCTTTTCTGATATAAGATTAATGAAAAGAAAACTAAGAGAATAACAAGGCATTTAACTCCCAAAGAACAAAAAATTCAGTGAAATATTTGACAGGATGCAATAAAGATATATTTCAAAACGATTATGATAAATTACAGAAAAAAAATAAAGCAAGACCTTGAAAGGATGAAAAAGTTTAAAACTTTCTTAGCTAGAACTCATAGCAACCATAAAAATTAATAAGTTGCCCAAGTTGAACTACTTATTCCAAATGGCACCAGTTCCAATTTCAGACAAAAATTTGCAGGATTGGCAAAGAACAATAAATTGATATATATGGAATGGAAAAAAACCCCAAACAAACACGAATAAGAATAAGATGCAAAATCTTGCAAGACTCAAAACAAAGAGGCAGATCAACCTTCCCTGATCTTAGACTGTATTACAGAGCAAGTTGTCTATCATGGATAACAGAATGGATAAAATTTCCAAATAATAGAACATCAATTATAGAAGGAGCAGGCCTAGCTAATGGACTTCATAGGCACCTATGGTACAAAGAAATGAGTGGAGTAGATAATCTGAAGGGACATATTATAACACAAAGTTTCTTAAGAATCTGGAATCTTTTAAAACCAAGGATATGTCTGGCTATCTCACCATTAGTATCATTGTCAAAAGATTTTTGCTCTAAGGACAACTACAATAAGAAAGATTTAATCATATATGTCAATATTATACATCTGGATTCAGGAAACAGATTAAAGATACAACAAGTATTGGTCCATGAAGGAAGGAACCTACCATAGTTAAAGTATTTACAAATAACTGGAAAGATAAAAAGCAATCTTAAACTTGAGAGAGATGACAGAATTTGAAACACTTATACAAAACCAAAATCACTTATTATGTTGTATCTATAAATTATTACTGAAATATGATACAAAGACAGAGCAAATAAAAAATTGCATGATAAAATGGATGCAAAATTTTAAACAAGTAATTACAATGGATTATTTAATTACACAGTGGATTACACAGTGGGAAGAGTTATAGAAAAGATCATTACTCTATAATTTAAGGGAAAATTGGTATAAAATGTTTTACAGGTAGTCCTCGGCTTATAATGGCAATTGGGACTGGAATCACTGTTGCTAAGCAATGAGGTTATAAAGCACAATATCACATGACTGCGCTGCTTAGTGAAGGCAATTCTGGCAGTCCTGGTTGCTGTCATTAAGCAAGGACTGCACAAGTCATTAAGCAAGGACCTCATATGTCCGCAACTTCTGATTTCCTGCTGGCTTTCCCACTGACTTTACTTGGGGGAAAGTGGCAGGGAATGTTGGAAATCATGATCACATGACTGGGGCTTGCTACGCCGTAATTGCAAACTGGGTGCTGAGTCATGTGTACTGTGATAGCTGGAATTCTGCTGACCAGTCATAAGTACCACTCGCTCAACACTATTGTAACTTTGAACAGTCATTGAACGAATGGTCGTAAGTTGAAGACTACCCGTGTGGATGGTATATAATTCTGTAGACGATTGCCAGGATAAACAAATCATACAACAATAAATGCTGGAAATGGCTTTTCTTACATCAAACATATTAGACAGCAAGGCCTGCTAAGACATTTAAAGTATGGCTTTTGCAGAAAAGAAAGAAGTTGATTAAAAAACAACTGAAAAAAATGCAGATAGATAAAAGCAATAACCACTAAATTTTAGAGAAAAGTACAAATATTTACATAGTAGTTAGTGGTTGGGGAAAAGAAAAATGAAGAGAAGGGGAGAACACACTACTGAATGTTTCGTTTTATAAGGAATATTTTATTATATTATATCTTCTTGCATCTCTATTTTTGATCTTTTAGTTTTGCACAATGCCTATGCAATGATATAACTAGTAAAAAGTTTAAAAAATAAATATAGAAATAATGAATGATTTGTTTTCTAACAATAAAATCCAGAAACACAGCAACAACTAATGAACTGTGTAATATTTGAGTGTCTCTACTTTTGGAGCATGACTTGGGGCCATAAGGTAAATAGATTATATAAAATAGTTTGTAACTATAATTGGAAATTTAGGTTCACATAATGTGCTAAATCACACTTTCTCACCTAGGAAGTATTAGAAGTTCTCCACTCATTCCTGACAATTCTTGGTGTTGAAGTCGAGATATCCGGAGAGTAGCAATACTGCAGAATGCAGAGCTAAGTCATCCTCAGTGTACAGTAATACCTCGGTTCACGAATGCTTCTGTTCACGAACAATTCGGTTCACAAACAGCACCGTTCGCAAAATTTTGCTTCTGTTT